TATATATATGTGTATATATATATGTATATGTGTATATATGTATGTATATATAAAAAATCAGACCAAAGTAAAACCCAGTGAGTAGTTTGTGTGGCCTCGTGTTTTATGTACATGATGATAACGTCGGGGCGAGCGCGTGCTAAAGGACCTCCTCTCAGATCTGGACCCGGTCTGAGCTCCTGTCTGAGGTACAGACATCATGTCCCGGATGTTCTGCAAGCTTTAGGTCAGACGAGCGTGTGGGCCCGTCACGTCCTTCGTCCTCCACACGTCTTCCACCAGAGGAACGCAGGACCCGCTACACTGGTGTCCCTCCGTGGATACGCCTCCCCCGACCATCACTGATCTGCCATCAAGTCTCTGAACGATGTTACAGGCAGCGTAGCGTTCTCCTCAGCTTCTCCTGACCCTTCACGTCTGTCACGTGTGCTCAGGCTGAAGCTGCTCACACATCTGTGAGAAGCACAGGGCAGCTCTGGTACTCTGTGGCACATGCCCGTCAGGCTCCACGGTGCTGGGCAGGAGCACAGGGCTCACATCGGGCCCTCGGGCCACCCTCATGGAGTCTGTGACGGTGCTCAGAGTGTTCTTGCTGGAGGTCATGTTGTGGCTCCGGCAGAGCTCATCCTTACACAGAGGAGCAGATACTGGTCCTGCTGGTGGGTTAAGTGGAAGTGACGGACGCCCTTTATAGGCTGCAGGTATGGCCTCACGCTGACCCCAGCCAGATGCACACCTGGTGAAAAGCAGTCAGATGAGGAGGGGAAGTGTCAGCGACCTCCACCTGTTTCCTGTTTCAGGGGGTGTGTCGTTGCTGCCCCTGCACCTGTTGTTCTTTTCATTAACGCCCTCTGATACTGATCGGCTCAACAAGTTTAAATGAGTCGATGCTGCACCGATTCATCAGGTCGTATGTTGTGTGACACTCAGGTTATGCAGTTGTTGTATGTTGGTGTGTTGTCATGGTGATGTTTAACATCTCGTGTCTCCATCGACCCTCCCACAGCTCCTCCTACTCAGACATCACCACCAGTCAGCTGACACAGGTGGAGGATGCTGCCTTGGACCCCTGACAGCGACAGCAAAAAAAGACCTGAAGAAGAAAAACAACAAGAGAATGAAGAGGAGTCGGACGTGACCACATCGAAGGACGACCCCGCCAGCCAATCAGATGCTGCGGTTAAGCCTCAGGACGGCAGCTCGGACTCTGGGGAGGAGGCGGCCGCGGTGCTGTCAAACAGGGAGGTGTTACCATGGCAACAGAAGGAGGAAGAGCGCGACGAAGCAGAGACACAGGCGGTAGCTTCATCGCCCGATGGACGATTCCTCAAGTTCGACATCGAGATCGGACGAGGATCCTTTAAGGCGGTTTACAAAGGACTCGACACCGAGACCACGGTGGAGGTGGCCTGGTGTGAGCTGCAGGTAACACACACACACACACATGCACACACACACGCACACACGCACACACGCACACACACACAGTAATAGTGGTAAAAGTAAAGATTTGTTTTTATTATTTACTAAACAACAATAATCGTTTGTTTGTACTTGTTTGTTTCTTATCTCAGGTCAGTTTGTGTGTTTGAGCTCTGAGGTCGGTTTTATGGTCGGTTTTATGCTTTTATTGGCTGATGTCTCAGACCGTGAGCTCTGATTGGCTCAGAATGAGGACCTTTAGGTTTGGTAAATGTTTAACACACCTGAGTTTGTATCTGCGAGGACGCGCCTCCGTCCTCAGGGCTGAGCGAGCTGCACGCTCTCAGACTCTTCATCATCATCATCATCGACATGAGTTCACACACCGGCACTAATGAGCACGCCTTCTGACAGTGACCCATCTGTAAAACTAACAGGAACATGATTGGCCACAACTCCCAAGATGCATTTCTGCAATAACTCCCCAAAAAAGCGCGGCACTGCTGAGAGCATCAAACTAAGGCTATCGTCAGTCAGAGCGAGGTCCAGGGTCGGGGTCGCGGGGTGCTCCTCCTGCGGCGTTCAGTCTGAGCAGGTGTCGGTGCCAGCTCGCCGCGGCCGGGTGAAGACGTCTCCCTGTTTGTGGACAAACGGTTGTTCTTTCGCTGGTCGTCACAGGTGAACATTTGTGTCCACAAACAGACCGGCGACTGTAAACGTGCGAGCAACACGAGGCGAAGCTTTGCTCGGCGTTTGGTGTGAAACAACGTTAGACGAGCTGGTTCTGTTTAACTGAAAGCAAGCTGGCGGCCGGAGACGCCCATAGATACTGCCGAAGGGCGCGGCACGCCTGTGAGATAAACGGAGGTGAGCTTCGATGGGTTTGCCTCCCAACTTTACCTTCACCGTTATCAGCAGCTGTAGACGCCACATACTCCCAAACACTGCAGCGCTTTACTCATCTGTGAGCTCGTTCTGTCAGAATAATCCAGTTAAAGTGTTAATAAACTTGTAGCAGGTGGATGAAAACAGACCTGTTTAAACTCTGCCAGCACAGCTGCTGAGGAATCCAGTGTTTCTCATCTTTCTGTCTGCCTGTTTGCATCGTGTCACTTCCTGATACCGTCTAACAGAGAATATTGGATGAAGTTTGTCATGTTTAATAAATAATAATAATACAGGGAGTGCAGAATTATTAGGCAAATGAGTATTTTGTCCACATCATCCTCTTCATGCATGTTGTCTTACTCCAAGCTGTATAGGCTCGAAAGCCT